AAATAATTATTTTTTTAAAAAGTCATAATAAATCTTGCCTCTTAAAAATTAGGAAAATAATATTGCAAAAACAGTTAACATCTATTAATATATAAATTTTATGTATTATTTTTTATTTTTTTATACACTAGATTTATATAAATTTTTTTATTTTTAATAGTTTAAATTTATTTTTTTATCATATATTTATTTAGAAATAATTATTTTTTTAAAAAGTCATAATAAATCTTAATTATCAAAAATAAAGAAATAAATAATTAAAATTTTAGATAAATAAAATGTAAAATTTATTTATAAATAAATTTCTACTCTTATAAAAATACAATACTTATTATACCCCTATAAAATTATGAAGTTACAATATTGTGACTGTAATTATAATACGTTTATAACAACTATAAGTACCAAAATAAATTTATTTTGTTTTATATGTAAAGCAAGATTTTTTTATTGCTGATATACTATACAAAATACCAACTATTTGTCAGTTTAGGTAAAAAAAACTTGATTCTTCTTAAATAAGTTTTTGACTCTAAATGAATAAAGTAACATGTGCTGGAGGAGTTTTTCAACTTGATTCTAAAATAATTGAAACTCAATATAATTATTGGATATCGAGAGTTTAATAAATATATATATATAATATAAAAAATATTATATAAAATATTACAATTGAATCACTATTTTATTTAATGAAATAATGGTACATTATATTTTACAAATTAAATATTGTACTTAAATTAATTGTCATTGGTGTTCTAACAATCAAAGAGTTAAACGTTAAGGTTGGGCCTCACTTTTAAGACATCCAATATAAAATTTTAACGGTCGAACAATGTGGAATTATCTTTCTGTTTTTAAGAGCATGCAATAATGGAATTATCTCCAAAAAAATGAAACCATCATATACTTAAATTACGAAACAAATCATCATCATCTCATATAGGAGCACTTAAAACTGATGCACACGAGTTCGATTCAACAATTTATTGGCTTGTAACTTGCAAGGAAAACCTACATCAACGAGGTTGATCGAGCAGATGCTTCATGAATTTGGTTTGGACCCACTTTAATTGATGATGATCAAAAAAAGGTTCAAATTTGGTTTGGTGGGGTCGATGGACTCATTCAATTAACAGGTGCAACTACCTTTTCAAGAAGTAACATAAACAATATGGAGAAAGCAAAACCACACCCACCTCAAATCATGATGTTGTTTTCTCCATGAATAGTGACAGTACGCAGCTTTTTCTTCTTCCCATCTTCTTTTCCATGTGAGCTGGGTAAAGGATCATTCACACTTCATTTTCTTTCTCACTTTTTTCTTTTACTTTTGGAATCACTTTACTTCTTTTATTTTCCCCTTTTTTTAGGTTTGATCATTTTTCATATGGTTTGAATTTTGAACCAAATACTCGTTGTTGAGGTTTTTTTTGTTTTTAATTTTCATTTTACATAGAAATTAATTGCTTGAAATTTTAAGAATTTAAACTCTTGACGAAAATAAATAAATAAATAAATATAGGTTTTTCTTTAAGGAAAGGGAATAATCATTAAGAAAAAAAAATAGGAGTATATTTTTTGTCTTCATCATTTTCTTTGTCTAAATTGGTAGTGTCCAAATTTCAATGAAATTGAAAACGATAGAATGAACACCATAACAAACGCCAACCATGCATTTCGTGCATCGTAGAGATTGAAGCTTCATAATTTTGAGGTAATAAATTAGATTTTTCTGTTGGTTTGTACATTGTTTGAACCAAAGGCCAAATTAAAAAAAAGTATATACAATGTTTGAAGTAAATGTATTCTATACGTGTGTCTATATATACAAAGACTATGAATTAGGTAGTAAGTCACTAATTTCCTCAATAAATTAAGGAAATGTCATAACATATATAACATCATTACTTATAAATATAAGTAAGAATTTATTTACATATAAATTTTATAAATGTTAATAATTTATCATTAATTATATAATGCATTTAATAAAATAAGGCACAATAATTTAGGAAATTAAAGAAAATAAAGACATTTTGACATTATAAATGTTAATAATTTAATATTAATTATATAATGCATTTAATAAAATAAGAACTCATATTATATATAGTCAATGATTATAAATAAATATTTTGACATTTTTAAAATCAAAATATATTAATTTTTTATTTCCTCTAAATGAGCCAAAGAGCAAGTAACTACTCAAAATAAGTCATTACCAGTTAAAAGAATAAACAAAAATTAGACCACTTGACATTAAAGAATATGGTTTTTTTAATATGTGTTTTTAGAATATAGACTGTAGCAGAGCTTGAAAATATTTTTATGGGATAAACTAAAATTTTGACTAAAAAATATGATTTTATGTGTCAATATAAAAAGGTAAAAAAAAAATTAATAATATTTATTAGTTTTTAATGATAAATTAATAATAGTTAATAATGCAATATAAAATTCATTAGTTGATAGATAAAAACAAACATAATATATACTATGAACAAAGAAAAAGGAAACAAAGATATTAATGAACAAATAATTTATATAAAAATGATAATAAATAATTTTTATTTGATTAATTTTTACTTTTTCTCATATTTTATATTATCTTTATTTTCTCTGTCTTTCTCTTTATTATTAAGAGGTAATCTTCAACAACATAAATACTAAAAAATAATTAAAATGGTATCAAATAAGAAAGGATAAAAATGATAAAAATAAGACATAAGAAACCAAGCTAAAATTTTTACAAAAGTTTAGGGGCACCTGTCTCCTCAAGACCCATTGACTCTGTCCATGAATACAGATTAAAAATATAATAAATACATATTTTGTAATAAATTTATATTAAAAAATAAAAATTAATTTTTAATTTATCAATTGTTTAATTAAATTTATCCTCTTGACACATATACTAAAACTAATATCAATTTATATATTTTTTTTATATATTTATGATAAAAAAAAGTGCTCTCTAACTTACATATTAAGAAAACCCTTAAAAATGTTATAATATTCAATCGTAATCATAAAATAATTATGGTGTAATTTTCTTACGAGAGATAAAACATTAATAGTCTTGATCTCACCTAAATCGTATTTACTCCCTTTGTTTCATATTATCTGTCTTTTTAGGTTTTTACACATTGATTAATAAAGTAATCTATTAATCTTGATTTTAAGGATATATAAGTTTAAAGTACTGTTTTACTCTTTTCATAAAAATGAAAAAAAAAAGATGAATTAGTAAATAAGTACATTATATGAGAGAAGAAAAAATTTAAAAAAAAATAATTAATATAACATTGAAATCCTAAAATATCAATTATTTAGAAATAAAAATTTCTTTCCACAACGAACAAATAATATGAAATAAAGGGAGTATTATCTAATTGAAATTGAATATTTTAATATCAAGAGAACCCAATCTTTACTTGACTGTAGTTAAAATAAGTAGAATATGCGGATCCAAACTAAAGTTTATCCTGCAATAATTGAGGTATATCAGGTCGGTGGAAAGCAATGAATTAGTTACAAGCAGGTAGGTGGAAAGCAATGAATTAGTTACAAGCAGGTAGGTGGAAAGCAATGCATTAGTTAAAAGGATTTTTAACATATCCCCTACACGTGTTAAAATGTATTAATTAT